TATAGCTGCAAATCTAATCTTAGATTCAGAAAATTTGGATAAAAACAAATCCACTTTTTGGTCCACAAATATATTCTCCTTTTTGCAAAACGAAGACTAAGATCATGAACCACATACGTGACTGTGCACACGATAATCATTATCTGCATAGTTCATTGTCAGAAATTTTATAATATTAAAAAGGTAAATAGTGTATATCTATAATAATTATAATAATTGTTTCATAAATCTACGTTTAAGGAAAAAGAGAGGCAAAAAAAAAAATATCACATCCCGGATCCAACAAAAATAATAAAAAAATTTATAATATTAAAAAAATAACTAATATACATGGATGATAATTATTTCATAAATCTACTTTTAAGAAAAAAAGAGATTAAAAAAAAATCTGAATCTATAAAAAGTGATAATAAAATTTTCACATTAACTCCATTTTTTTTATTTTTTCTCTTATTTTTGTGTTTATCTCTCTCTCTCTATATGAAATAACTTATACCAATTACTCTTTAAAAAATATAAAATTTCTCGTTCATTACTTAATGTTTAATCAATCATTATCTACAAAAAAAGGTTTAACTTAACGACCGTATACATAATTAGTTAGTTTTTAGTAAAATAAGATTCGAATATTGATGACTATAAATTTATTTAGTGATTATGTAATAGAGATGACTGTCTTTATTGTGTAACCCAATTAGTCTATTATGCCTCAGTAAATCAGGAAAAAAAAAGGTTTTCCACATTAAAAAAAAAAGAAGAAAATTAATATGGATATGCCTTGTATTAATTAATTATACACTGGAAAAGTATTTACATTGACCATAGAAGGTACCACTGTTTACTACGATAAATCAGTTCTACTTTGACGTGAAATAAAGGATTGCAATTTTAAACATATTAAATAGTTTCTTGTTTACAACTTTATAATCAAATGTTTCAAAGCTTATTAGTAGCATCTTGATTTGATGTTGAAAAGATGAGGGGTACAACTATTAATCTGGACTATTTTAATATGGAGAAATTGGTTCCATGATTGAAAAAATATATTCATTTTCTTATTTTTTTTAAAAAAATCTTAAGATCCTTATTAATTATTTTTAAAAATATATTAGGTACTTGTGAATGTGTGTTTTTAAAATCATTCGATAATAAATCTAGTTTAGATTGATAAAAAAAATGATGATATTCTTATTTTTAAACTGTAATAAAAAAAAAAAAGTAACTTTGTCTATTTTGAGCATTTCTTGGAACTTATTTTTTTTGAGAAGAGATTAATTAGTAAAATGTTATTTAAACGGTTTGGATATTTATGATTAATAGGTCGTAGAAGCAAAGTATCTATACTGTCTAGTCGTTATCTCCCATGCATACGTATAATTCAAAAAGGCAAAACAACAGGAATCCCAGCGAACAATTCCACTTGCGGTGGTGGCTCGAACGGGGACTTGACAGTCTGGTGGAATATCTTATCTTCAGTGACTATTCAAAAACTAGATTGGAAACTTTATCACTGTCTAGTACATGTCCCAGTAAAGCAAACCACGCTAAATGGCTTCCATGACTCTAGACTATTCTAGTATCCTTAACGCCAGCTACATCTATCATACCCAAAGATACGCAACCCATTATGATATTTTAATTAGATATTTCAAAAACAGTATTGGAAACTTCGTCACAGTGAAGATATTTTCAGATAAGTTTAATTTCTTTTTTCTTTTATTTCTCCTGTGATTTTAATTAGATTTCACATTCTAGTTGATGTATTCACGATTTTTTTTCGGAACTCCGCGCGGAATGTGTTCCATTGATTATAGCAGAAAACACGTGCATTGTGCTATTTGATAATAAAAAATATAATAAAAATAGAATAATAAAAATAAAAGTTTTATTTCTACGTTATAATAATTAAATTAAAAAAATACAATAGAATGAGAATAAAAATTTACATATAATTTCATTTCTATATAAGATGTAAGAATAAAAACAAAGAATGAGAATGAATTTGTTTTCAAAATAATAATATATTTTATTTATTTATTGTCGATTAACTACTTTTATCACTACCACCACCGTCACCGCAACTATCATCACAACTCGTTATCACCATTGCCATCACCACTCGCTACTAGAATCATTACCGTCATAACCATCACCGTCATCATCACTTTTGTTATTTTTACAATTATTATAGTTTGATAAAATTATTTTTTTAATCATTATTTTTATTTATATAAAAAGTCGGATATTAAAAAATTTGAATTGCATTTCGATTTCTCATTAATATTTCAAACACAGTATAAAAATATAAATACCATTCAAATTTCTTAATTTTCATTCCGATTCTTGAATTTCTATTTTCATCACTCTATTCTTGATTACCAAATAATACCTTCCTATATATTTGGTTAAAATACAAAATTATTTGTTCGTCGTTTTATAGGTGGGTGGAACTTATCTCAAATTGCAGCAAGTAATAATAGTGTTAGTTTTCTTTTGAGGTTCTATTCAGATTTAGTCCTTGTACTTTTTTAATTTTGTGATTGAAGCCTTTTTTTTTTTTTTTTTTTTTTTTTTTTTTTTTTTTGCATTAATCGAGTCATTCTACTATTTGTTTTGCATTGAATGAGTCCCTACGTTTACATGTTGTTAATTTGTAAGCCTACACGAGATCTTTCTATCACAGCACATAATTGAATTCTTGATGATTCATAATTCAATAATTCTTTTATTTTTAAAATTTTCATATTTGAGGTGAAAATTAAATAGTTAAAAGAAAGTAAATTAACTGAAACAAAAAATAACACGAAGGGACCTAATTAATTCAATTGAATATTTTTTTTACGTGTTTATGTTTTTATTTTTTTAATTCTTTGATTGTATAATTTCAGAAATAGAAGATTTATTTTAATAAAAAGGTGTCGTATAGTTGAATGAATGCAAAGTATAGTAGCATATAAGGTCTTTACAAAATAAAATAAAGAAATAGAGATTTAATTAATTAAAAAAAGAATAAATTAACAATTTGAATTGTCTAATATGCACCTACATATTTTGTTTCTTAATTTTTAAAATTCATGTAATTTGATATTTTCATGTTAATAAAAAAAATCAAAATAAATTAATGGATATGGACATTGTAAAAAATTGATATCTATATCTTGAAACTAAATTAATGAATATATATATATATTTTAATCATTATATATTTTAATATTCATTAAGTATTTTTAATAAAAATTTATTAGATCGAATAAAACTGATATCTTTTTTATATCTAATACATTGCCATCGTTGTTGGTAAGTAATCTCTTATCCAAATGAGAAAGGGGAAGTGCTGAAAAAGACACCGTTCTTATCTACCTCCCTTGTAAAGAATAGTTCTCTTTTATTCTAAAACAATTTGAATCGTCTAATATGCACCCACATATATAGTACATACAGCAAATTATCTATATATTAGGACAATGAAATTAAGATAAAGAAAATGAACCCTCATTTATATACTCATGTTGTCCGAATATGCCTACTCACATATATACGTAGGTGTAATAGTTTTAGCCATTAACAATTGAAAGCCTCTTGACAATTTACAAGTTGATGTATGCATTGTCCAATCTTTACCTTATCCTCGATGACTAAGCAATTATGTTCAAAAATGAAAACGGATTTTTTATTTTTATCTTATTTTCTTGGAAATTACACAATTATGGAATTATTCGCTAGGATTTGATTCTCTTACTCTCCTTCATCCCATCAAGGCCACCCATTTCAAGTCCCTGAAAGGTCTTCTTGTCATTGATGGTACACCACCTTGGGCCAAAAGCTGAAGGGATGTTCAACTAAGGTGGCCTCACCAAGGTAAAGCATTATTCAAAAGGGTCATTGTAGGTGGGATGCGGCTAGGTGCCCAGGAGAGTACTGCTAGATCAGCTAGTGACTGGATGTGGCTAGGTGCTGACTTAGCTCATAATAAAAAAGTAAATATCATTATCTGAAATTCAGATATGAATTTATTATAATTTATTAAATAACAAGTAAATATCAAGAAATAGACTTTAATTATGTTAATTTAAAAAACATCAAAAATTGAGATACTCGTTCATAAAACTTTATTAGCAACAAAAAAAAAATTATATTTTTTTATCTCAAAGTCATACATAAATAGTAGATTTTGATTAAAATAATCCTAAAACAATTCAAGAAGGAAAACAAATACTAAAAATTCAAAAAATTAGGCAAAATCTTAAAAATAGTAAAAATAGATTTTGAGAGTTTAAACGATATTTTTTTGACGAAAATCACCTGTACATCATGAATTTTGCTCATTGGCATGTTTGTTATCGAATTAGATTAAAAAAAATCTTAGAATTGGACCGATAATTTTTATTTAACTTCTACTACACTCATTATTTCATGAATTTCAAGATCCGTCGCTAAATCAGCTAGTGACTTACTTTGAAGTCTAATAAGGGCAAACCATATAGAAAGAAAACACGTCATTCTCCTTTATGAGATGATCCACTGTGCTGCCTAATTGATAAGCGCACCTTGTCTCCCGGAGACAAATTCCCTTAACATGTGTGTAGGGTCGGCATATCTTATATAGAACCCTTATAAAATATATGATAGAACTCAAATCTTTTGGCAGTGGAGTGGTAATTAAAAATTATGTGTTCATTATTTCTGGAAAGCACAAAGACTATTGTATTCCCATATCTTGGAAAACATTTGAACTTTTTTAACTAATAATTGGAATATATCTTACCCATAAGTGCCTAATAGTCCTATAATTTGTAGGAGACATATGCTTTCAAGATACTTGGACGAGGGACCACCATCCGGACTTTTCATGTCTATCTGTAACCCCCCATCGCAAAAAAAGAAAAAAAGAAAAAAGCGTTGCCAAGAGACTACTACTACTATATATACACCTGCTCTTCCACAGAAATAATCACACAAATTTGGATTTAGCGCTTAAGCTGATCTTCAAGCAAACATATATGGAGTCCAACCGCAAGCGCAAAGGGTTCATGAAGGGCAAGCTGATGTCTTTCCATCGAACATCATCAAAGCCTTCCTCAAATGTACAGTATAGCAGCAAAATTAAGCCAAGCCAGACTTCTCCAACAACTGCTTCGGTGGGTTATGTTGTCCATCAGGATTTTATGATTGCCCCACAAAAGCAAACGCAGGTCCTCTCGTTTATAGTTCCTGCTGCAGACAGCCGGCGCGACAAGTTAAGCCAATTTGATAAGTTCTTCGGCGTTGTTGGTGATGTAAGTGTAGATACCAAGGCTTCTAGCTACATCACTTCCGTTCGAGAACGTTTCCAGCTTGAACGACAGGTTGAAGACAGCAGTAGAGATTAACATTTATGGCTCATGTATCCTGTCGGCCGGTTAGCTAGTCATCGTCAATTAATAAAATCTGGACCATGTATGTAGTTTCATATATGTGAAGGAAGGTACACGTGTTGCATTTGTTCATACTGAATCTTTAATTTACTATAAGATTTGTGCATGTCTTAAGTCATTAAGGCTTCTCGTGTATCATTGAAATTGTGATCAATCAGAAGCAAACTTATCATAATCCATTCGATCCTTTTGCACTTTCCTCCATGCGCTTAATACAACAAAGCAGTATATTAGCAACATTGTTTGTAATTAAAAAGAGACGAGTATAAATTTTCAAGCAAAAAAAATTGCACTAAATTCTATGATGAATAAAATTTAAAAGAGGCTACAAAAAAAAAAAAAAAAAAAAAGAGAGAACATATACAAATATTTTTATTAAATAGATTCTAAGTAGATAATTAATTAGGCATAACTAATTTATTTGATTTCTAGTATGGTTAATTTGATTTTTTTATTAAATATTGATTAGTGCTATGTTGTTGTGTATAACTAATTTATTTGATTTCTAGTATGGTTAATTTGATTTTTTTTATTAAATATTGATTAGTGCTATGTTGTTGTGTATACTTCTCGATAGAGTATATAGGCGAAGTTTTTGTTTAATATGATATTGAATTATATTAAAACCATGTTTTACCTCTTCATGTTTTCTAATCATCGACCAAAAAAATTTAAGAAAAATAGTTTAATATGTTCTTATGTAATTAAGTAAAATTTTAATCTATTTATATTTTTAATTGAATCAATTTTATTTTTATAAAACAATTAAGTTTTCAATTTATCATTTTTCTAATTTTTTTCATCCAAATTAATAAAATTAATCTTGAATATAAATTAATATTAAGTTTAAAATAGTCCGAACTTCTATGACCATGTCAGCTATGTGCAAAAAAAGTTACTGATAGATTTTTTTTTTTTTTAACAAAATAAATTCACATGGAACCGTATTTGTCTCCCTCTCCGAAACCTTCATCTCCTCTCCTATCCTTCTTTCTCTGGGGACCTCCTCCTCTTCCACCAAAATTGCTATTTTGGTTATATATTGAGTTACATACATGATTGATTATGTTCATTTGAATTAAAAAAAAAAAAAAAAGATAAATTAAAAACTCAATTATTTTATAAAGATAAAATTAAATCAATTAAAGATACACAAATAGATATATATTGAAAACTGACTCCATGCTATAAATACAGATTGGACATCTTCCAAAAAATTTATCGTGCATTGAAAGCAATAGTTCTTACATAAAATATAAAATTTTTGTTGATGAGATTCTTAATTAACGCATCAATCATTACTTTTTCTTTACAATCAATAATTAATTAGGGGGAATATAAATGTAGAGCATGTGTATTTATCATATAAACAACCACTTTCACTTATTAAATAATTTTGGAAAGCTCATTGTAACAAGTGTTAACAAGAACATGGACACCTGTTAGATTTATCGTTTTACTATTAGAAGCATGTGTCTAGTCATTGTATTTTCTTCCAATACCAGAGAAAGTAGTGTTTTTTTCTTTTTCTTTCTAAGAAAAAGCGTCCTACGAGAACAGAAAACACATATGTGCATAAGAGAACAGGCTTTTTAGACAAATCCCATGATATTTTAACTGCGAACTTATTCTTCAAGTACTAGCAAGTAATGCTTAGACTATATATATAATCACAAAAGGCCAATCGGTTCAAAATTACTTTAGATTTTTTATCAACAAAAACTTGGTTTTTATTTTTTCAATTTGATTTGAGTCCTAAGCTTTTTCAATATCATACTTCCGTCATGTGACCGCTTAGTAATAAAACATGTGTCTTAGAACATACTCTTCCTAACACGTTATTTAAAATAAAAAGAAAAGAATAAATTACAAACAATAAAAAAACGTAAAAAGCAATACTAAATCCCAGATGCGTATCTAGAAAAATTATTCAAAAATCCCTCCCGTAGTTGATCTTCAAAATCAAAACACGATCCATAAAAAAATCAGTTTAAATAATATTGAACTAGGGAAAAAAAAAAACAATCTCGGGGATTTCCAAATCTTCAACAACAACACTGTGATTTATCAGCTTTCTTCTCAAAATCACAAGAAACAAAATTTGGAGAAAGAAAAGCATATCAACCCCAAAAGCATATCAAACCCAGCAATCTTACCAGGAAGAACACCACATTGCCACAATCATCAACAATATAAAGTGATGAGATTGTGATCCTCGAATTGTATAAATGGTTGGATGTTAATTCTCTTTGGCTGATTGAAAGGCGAAGATTTAACCTTATCTTGACGATTTAGGGTGAGTTCTCGTAAAACAATTCTTTCTCCGGTGTTTGAAGGACCATACGATGACTAAATTGGCATACGCAAGGAGAAGTATTTAGCCGAATAAGTTTAGTAGTTTATATATATATATATATTTTGTGTTTGGTTTGAATAGACTTAACAATAAATGTTTTGCTCTAAAATGGATAAGATATACGGGAGTATATGATTTGTGTAGAGTGTAGAAGACAAAATATAACCTTCTTAACTCTGTTTTATGTTAATCTTTATATAGTGATAGGAATGGTCAACTTGTATGGAGTGAAGGGCATATTCATCTTTTCTTCAAGGGCAAAAGAGTATTTTTATCGCTTGTAATGGACTTTGACTTGAGTTTCTACAAGTTGAGGATCCTTTTAAATGAGTGTCTTATGAGTATTGATGTAGGTGTCATCATTTTTTACGGTGACGTGTGGGATGACGTCTTTCATTTAATGTATGTCCTTTATGCTTTTTTCCATTAATAAAATATACTATGCTTGAAAAGTTGAAGAGGTGTGAGTAAACTAAGTATTCCCAGTCTGTGGGGTTTTTTTTTTTTTTTTTTTGGTATAGAGGGTCTCGTGTATGCATATTTGGAGCAATTAAAGGCCTCTTTCACAATTGTGAGGAACGTGTTGGGGTTTACTTTTTTTAGCATACCAATAACCCCTACTATGTCTTTAGTGAGCAAGTTTTACTCGTAAACTCAAACTGCATATGGGTAATTTTTTGGCAAAATTCTTGTCGTTTGATGACTATTTTCATCTAAGTAATTTTTGGTAAAATCATTGATGTTTGATGACTGGATTTCATCCGGGTAAGTCTTGGCAAAATTTTAGGTATTTGACAACCGCTTACATGAATTTTTTAGATTAGACAATGATTGGTATGTGATAATCTCGTTAAATGCTTACGGTTTATGATGATGTTGTTCACATATGGGAAGTTTAATCGGCCACATATGTGACGTTTCGTGGGAAACAAAGTATTTGGGGTCTACCAAAACTCTTCCTATTCCATTTATATCCTCTCCTTATTGGGACATTTGGCAATGGTTGATTGGTCTATGCAAAAAACAAAAAAAATAGTGTCTTTTGGGTTTGGTCCTCTAAGGATCCTTCATGAAAGGTTCCCTACTTCTTATATATATATATATATATATATATATATATATATATATATATTGTTGGTGAATCTCTAGCAATCTTCTTTCGTCATGTTCCGCTTTTAGGCGAAACATCCTCTTTAGTACACACTTTGTTGGAATCTAATAGGTAATACTTTCTTTCTTTATTATTTGTTTATTTAAAAGAGATGGAGGATTTGAGAAAGGTTAGGATGGTGTCAAGTGTAACTCCTTATGGCAAAGGGGTTCACCCTATTGTTGAGGGCTCAAACCTTGGTGTAGAGATGTTTATTGTTCCTAAAAGCATATGGCTAGTTCCCTATCCCTATAGTGTGCCTATGCTCATGCTCGACGACATTAATAGAGGTCCTAACATAGTTTCTAGTGAAAAGATCAAAGCTTTTGGCCGTGTTTTAATGCTGAAAAATCGTATAGTCATTACAAGCTCTTTTGATGGAAAAAAGTCAATGACTTTCAAAGCTTTTAGTTGAAATATCAAGATTAATGTTCTTACTTACACGATAGAGTATGGGATTAGACTTTTCTTTTCCATATTTTTAGAATATTTTTTTTAACCATTTTTATATAAGCTTTTGCTAACTTCTTCATGATTGGTAGGCCATTTTTATGGCTTTTGGCAATTTTGGTCTTCAATTAGTTATGTCCTTATCTTTAAGGCTCCTCTTGTTTTTTTTTTTTTTTCTATTTAAAATTAAGGAGTAAGAAGAAAAACAGGTAATCATGTGTGTGCAACCTTTTTTCTAGGGGAGCTAGTCCATTAAATATGATATTTGTTGGTGAAGTTATTCTTGGTGATCTGGAGGGGAGAGTTTTTCATCATTCCATATGAAGGACTAGCCCAAACGATAGGAATCGGGTCATATGAAGATGCTCTCCTTTTTGGAGAAAATTTACAAAGACCATCAATGAGATCCTTCTCTTATCTAGTGAGGACTTATCCTTCTCGAGTTAGAAGAGGAATTTGAAAGGTGTCTTTAGATTGGACGAGCTTGCTCAAGGCCTTCATTTAGCTAAGTACATACATGTTAGTTATGTTGACTTTTCCTTATCTTGTTTTTGTTATTGTCAATTTTTATTGCTTGGTTTTTAATGTGCATTTATTTTTTTTAATAGTTAACACTTTGGTGTGTTTCAATCTTCTTATGGAGTAAACTCGGTTGGGTTGAGGCTTTTTCCTGAGGGAAGCCTTGGTAATATAAGACCTTCTATTCCTCTTCCTAAGCCTACTATTACTAGAAGGGTAGGTTTGGGTGGTACATAAGCCCATATGAATAAGTGAAGAATGACTCGTTTCTTTTTCCCGACGATAAGTACTTTTTCATAATGTGACTCGAGTTTCTTTCCATGCCCAAGTTTGTACCTCTAACTCATTTCTTGGATAAGGTGATTACAACTTTGACTCTAGCGACTGTCTCTCATTTGGTTGTAAAAGGTTTTTCTTTACATGGCAAGGGTGTTTTTCCCCTTAAGCATACAATAAAGAAGGTGGTGGTTGGCTCTTTTATTCCTCAAGAATCAATTATGGTTATAGGCACTTCTATTGTTACGGACTTGAGGCCCATCCTTGTTTCTACCCCGAAGGGACCTCGCTCAATAAGGAACATTTTTAGAGACTATTTCATTTTTTTGGATAAGAATGGAGAAGAGGTTTCTCATCATCTTAGGTTGGCCTTACTGATTCTTAGAGATATGCCAACCATAATCGAAGTCTTTTGGTTAACAATATAAGAAGAGAATGTAGTTGCCTTTCACTCGTAAGTATATTTTCCTTCTTACTTCTTAGACTTTGCTTTATTTATTGTGCTTGATGTGATTTTTTCACAAGTTCTCGAATCATATATTTACATGTTTTAAAGGTTAGAAACCTTGGAGAGAGAGAGTATGCTAAAAATGTGAAGTTAATGTAACATTATCGGGATGACGTCCACCATAAGAAGAGGAAGATTTTTCTATTTTATACAAAGATAGAGAGATGGTTAAGAGAGTTGAATGACTCTCTAACTATAACTTTTTTTAGCAAGTTACGGATGTTGTCCGAGAGCTAGCCTTAACATAGACCTTAAAAGAGGAAACAAATTCTTCTACTTTCGAGTTGGAGGAAATAAGGGCCGGTTTGAATAGCTTTTCTTAATAAAGGGTTGCTACTTTAGAGAGGCTTTTTCTTGAAGCAAATTATGAGTTATCTTGATAAATTTATCCCCCGATTTAGAGATACACATGGGTCCCTTCAAGTTAGAATTGATAGGGTGTTTACGGGTATGGTAGACCAATGTTTTCTAACAAGGCTAAAGGGATTCACGTTAGTTTTTATAATTTGTTTGGCAAGGAACTAGTTTTTGAATTTTACATATTGTTTTCGAAAAAGGCCAATGATACCGATGACGGTTAATTTATTTATGGTAGTGCTCACTTTTTTGGTGCCCTTTTCTCTAGTGAGGTTTATGGTGATAATAAGGAATCGGACTCTATTTTTACTCCCATCTAGGATTTTCACTTAGGAATCGATGTCCTATCTAATGTTCCCTTTCATTTTTGTTTCCTAGAGAGTCTTTTGGCACCCATGCGATCTTTTTTTTTTTTTTTGCTTTTGTTTCTACTCTTATTCTTTTTCTCCCTCAAAAGGCATCCGAGATTCTATTGAGGTGTTCATGGAAAGTGCTATTGATTTGGTGAAGTTAGATTAGAATTTTGAGTTTTTTTTTTCAACCATTGGTCCCGGGCTTGTAGGATCAACCATACTTAAAATATCTAATGTAGCACTTGAGATAATATTAGAAAAAAATTATAGAATACAACCAAGGCCAATGTAGTTATAAAGGGCTAGAAATAAGGCTATGCAAGTTATGGAGGGTAGTCATGAGAAATCATACAAGACTCTACCAAAATATATTAAGTTATTGAGATAGACTAATCCTTATTTAATTATTTATTTAGGTTATGATTTTGATTTCAATTATGAAGCTCGCATCACCAAATAAGTTTAATAGGTTATTTATTTGCTTGAAATCAATGAAAAATGAATTTTTGGCTTGGTGTAAAAGATTTATAGGATTGGATGGTTGTCATCTAAAGAGTCTATTTGAAGGAGTTTTACTTGCATCTATGTGTTTAGATGCAAGCAATGGTCTATTCTTATTGGCTTATCTTCGTTGTCCAAGTAGAGGATAATGATAATTAAAAATAGTTTCTATCAACTTTATATGATTGTATAAAGTCGAAATTCAAGAGAAGACTTTTATATATTATGTCTAATAAGCAAAAGGTATGAATAAACACTACATATACTTCATACTTTTTTATTTACTTAGTGTCATAAAGAGTTGCAAAGATTTTGTTAACTTTTATTTTCTTTCAAAATTTGCCAAATAGTGTGAAGAAGATTTTCTCCCAAGCAACTCATAGGCATTGTGCCGGGCATATATATGCCAACTTCAAGAAAAGAAGATTTATAGGTTTCGAAATGAAGTTAAGTTTCTAGAGAACTAGTAAGGCATATACTCGCCATTTAATTTAAACAACATATGAAGGCTATTGGGATAGTCAATTTTGAAGCCGCTAAGTGGTTATAAAAAATACATGCTTATAAATAGTCAAGGCATACATTTGATAAAGATGTGACAAATGATCATATGACCAATAACATGGCAGAATATTTTAATCACTCGTATTGAAAAATTTAGAAGCTAGCCTATGGTGAATTTGGTAGAGAAGATTAGGGTGAAGATAATGTCAAGGTTTTATGCTAAATTTGTGAAATGAGCATCTTAGGAGACCAAGACTACTCTATTTGTGGTGGAGATAACCGACAAGACAAAGAATTGAAGGATAAAGCATGCTAATGCAGATGAGTATCAAGTTTATGATAGTTCATAGAAGATATCCGTGAAATTTAAGACATATGAATGCCTTGGTGTGAACGGAGTATTACTAAGATCCATTATAGGCATATAACAATTTGTTTATCTCACAAAAAAGATGAGTTAGAAGATTATTCTGATTGCTGAGATACAATCCCTTGTTTTCTCAAAACTTATGTTAAAGTGGTTCATTCTTTACCTAAAAAAAGCCCTAGAACCTTAAGAAGGAGAACTTGTTATCTTGCCTTATGTTACGAAGAGATGTGTTGGTAAAGCAAGAAAGAATAAAAGAAAAGAACAAAAAGAAAAAGCCCTAAGCACTATGAGGATGAGGTCAAGCACTTTAAATGCAACATATATAAAAAATTTGGTCATAGTCGAAGAACTTGTCAAAAAGATACTACTCGGATAGTTACAAAGGCGAGTTAAGCCATTTTGGTTTGTTTGTTTCAATATAATGTCACTTCTTTTTTTTTTTTAGTATTGTACAAAATTGTTTTTTTTCTAAACATGTTTGATTTGTTTATTGCTTACTTAGATTGGAAGAATTGGTGGTGAAGGGAGTGAAATTAGTGAAGGTGGTAGCTTTTAAGATGTTGAAAATAGAGGTGGAAGGGGTGGTAGAAGAGGATCCGGTGGTAACAAAGTTGGGAGTTGGTGATAGCTCAAACAACTTCAAGATGGTGGAAAAGAAAATGGTGGTAGCCTTTAAGTTGGTGAAAATAGAGGTGGCTTTGATGGAATGAGATAGTAAGGGTGGTAAGAGAGGAGCTAGTGGTAACGAAATAACGAGTAGTGTTGGTGATAGCTCAAACAACCTTCAAGATGGTGGGAAATAATTTGGTGAAAGTGGTAGCTTTCAAGATAGTGGAATAGAGGTGGTATTTGTAGAAGAGGCGATAGATGTGGTAGAAGAGGAGTTGGTGGTAAGAAAAGTACCGATGTTAGTGGCGGCTCAAAAATAGTTGAAATTACTTTTGCTATAAAAAAAATAATGAATGATTATTTGCTTATAATATTGAATTTTGTGTTTTTTTCTTAAGTGTTGAAGATAAATATTTTCTTATAATTAAATTTCAATTTCATTTGGTTAATAGAAAAAAGGATGAAGGTAGTGGCGGTGGCACTAAAGGTGGCATCCACTAATTAGGGTTAATATCGGTGTTACATACACTATTTTTTAGGTGTGTATATATATTTATATTTAGATTCATGTTATATTTTTTTGTTGCTTGTGGTGAAGGGACAATGTTCTTCGAATTTAAATTGTGTTCATCATGTCTTAACAATGTTCTTATGAATTCGGATTATTTGAATCATGTCTTGACAATGTGTGCATGTTAGACAATGGGAGTTTGTTGGATAGTGTGGGTTTATCGGACACTCGTAGGTAAGCTTTGTTTTTAGCATTGTATTGCAATCGGATTGGTTTTTAACACTACAAGACTTTGTTTTACTATTTATTTACCGGTAACACTAATACAAATACATACATTAGTATTGTATACATTATATTAGTTATTAAGAGATACTTGAAGTTTTTAATATTGCCTTCCAATAGATGATGTTTCAATCATAGTCTCCTCAATTCATCTCTCAATTTGTGGACTTCATCCACAATACGTTGAATATTAACTTTTTATCCTCCAATGTTTCTTTGATCCATATTGTAAACAGATTCACATCAATCAATGAATGAATTGTCACAAAACTTGTCATCACACCTGTAAAACAATTTATTTTTGCTTATGTCAATTTCTGAAATCCTAATAGAGGCACGATTATTGCATTTGTTGCACCTAATGTTCTTGAATCTTAATCCATGAAAGATTTGTTGATTGATGGTGTTAGAGGTAGAGATTTTATTGTTGTAAGATGGTGTTGACATTGAAAAATGAGTAGGGTATTTTTTTTTTTTTTGAAATACTTGAAATATTGCGTTTTAATTTGAAGTTTTTGGTATTTTAGTAATTTGGTATTTTTGTTCTTAGTTATATTAATCTTGTGTGTAGTAATAATATTAAACTTTTTTGTACAATCTCAAATAGTAAGCTTGAGTTTTTTTTTTTTTTTTTTTTTTTTTTTTTTAAAAAAAAATTTTAATGTATATCGAGTGCTTGGTCTAACTCCCAAATAGGAAGGGATTTTATTGTTGTAGGATAGTGTTGACACATGTTATGTTTTGATTATTTATATTTATAGTCAAAATTTAACAAATGATTCAAGGATGATATTGTTGATAAAAAAAAGGTTTAGATTTCAAATTAAATTTAAAAAAAAATTAAGAATTAAGTTCTGATTGATAAAAAATTGAGGATAATTTTTAACCAATTAACGGGATATTGATATTCTTGATAACATAAAGAGGAGATGCTTAAAATTGAAACTTTTGTCTAAATGTATGGTGTAATGGTCCCCAAGTAAAAGATCTAGGCTTTGTTTGGCTCTGCAGCTTTTTATTTAGCTTTTAAATATATAAATGCTTGATAACGAGTTTACTTAAAAAAAGCAGAAGAAGAAGAAGAAGCAGATTTGCTATCTCTAAAAAGTAGATAAATTGTGCATTTCTTATAATCAGCTAAATATATATATATATATATATATATATATATATATATTTACTTATAAACACAGCAAAGCCAAACAAACACCTAGTTTATCGAAGTCTAGTGACCAAGTGAATGGGATTTGGTTGGGAAAACTTTTGATATAAAATGATGATGTTTCAGATAATAGAATATCCCTTCCTGCCGAATATCATCTCGGTGGCATCCGTCTCTTTCCATCCATAATCATAGGGCAAAAATGATAAGGAAAAAAAAAGAAGATAAGAATTTGGAATCTAACATTACGCAACATGAGATGACATTAATTGATTTTCCAATCTACCTTTTACTCAGTTAAATTCCTCAAGCATTGCACTTTAATATTCTCTCAGCGAATCTAAATATCTAATAACTTCTGTAGCTAGGGAAGTCTTATACTTCTTGATGCTAAGAACTACGGAGGAAATTAGTTGCAATCTACCAGAAAAAGGAAGCAACTTCGTGGCCCGATGCCAGAACCTACCAATAATCTTCTCAATCGGAATATTGCAATCAATGACTGATCACACACAATTTTTTTTATATAAAAGGGAGCCCCCGGATGCCTTACAAGAAGCTTACGTGCCTAGTTTAAAGCCAAAAACTCCTGCACATTAGTCATCACCTTTGGGGAATGTCTGCACAAAAAAGGTCACACTTGCTAGGATTGAACTTGAAACCCGATACATTATCTTTATATGTTTTATAAGTTGTTAATTAGAGTTTTTGAGATGCAAAGCAAATGAGAGAAGAGAAAATCAGCTTACAGCTTTTGATAAACATAGCAATTTTGTAAAAGTAGGAAAAAGGAGCTTCGAGCTTTCAAATTAGTTGATAAAAATTACTTGGTAGCTTTTTAATTTCATAATTATCTCTAAAAAATATCAAAGGTTATATTAGTTTTTGTTGATAGAGTTTTTTTTTTTTTTTTTTTTTTTTTTTTTGTCCATATTCCAAATTATTCAAAAGACCGGATGTTACCACGAAGACCATTAATTGGTATTATCAAATACTCTTTCAAATAGCGAGATATAATTTTCTTATTTCATGTTATGCAGTGCAAAAAATAGTGGTTTGGTTGTATTTTTTTTAGTATTAATGAAATTACAATTTTTCAAAAAATAAGAAGAAGCTAAAGTCTGCCTAGTGGTTAAAGAATATATATGCTCTTTTCTTTAAACTTCTGAGTTCAAACATTCAAACTAATATTTGATAAAATTTATTAAATTATTTTGAATACATTAAACAGGTATAAGAATACACATTTAAGGTAATCCGAGGAGATTTAATCTCGATTAATATATAAGCTGGCTTGAAGATACCAATTACCATCGAATAAAAAATATATTTAGTATGTGTAAAAAAATAAAATTAAGTACCTATAATTGAAATAATTGTACGCAATAATATTATATATTTCTAAATCCCTTATCACTTATATTTTCTTCATCCCAAAAAAATAATAATTAAATTGGTACTTTTAGTTGTTTTATTTAAAGTTTTTGTATTAACTCATCATAATAATTTTTTAAAAAAAATTATAAATATTTTTAACACCAAGAAACTTTAAAATATATGAATTTTAGACCGAAATTTTACATAAGATTTTGTCAAGTATAAAAACGTTTATAGTAACATAACATACAATGATTGAACGTGAGATAGATTTTAAGGGGAGAGTCATTGAAACCGTATATTATGTATTTGCAAATAGTCAAATACTTTTTTCCCATATTTAGATCTTTTATTGTTCGAATTTTTTTGATTGAAATCTTTTTTTTTTTTTTAATTGAGACTCACTGCTCTTAATTTTATATTGCTTGAGACCCTCCGGTATAATATCATTGTTATGAGTTTATATGATGATGACATGACACGGACGTGATGTGTCTACTTCAAAATGCTTGACACGTGAAATTTTAATTGAAAAAAATTAACATATAGAGACCTAATTGTACAAAATTTAAAATTTTGGAACTAGAATGTTTGTTTATGAAAAATTTGAGGACCAAAAAAATTATAAATAAATAACCAAATTGTAACAAAATAGTAAATTTGAGGACTAAAATGTTTGTTTAAATTACAAAGACTGATTTTGATAAATTATTTTTAGCGAGGTATTAGATGGCTATAGATAGAGGGTACTAAAAAAATAAGAAATTTTGAATATTTGACTGATTCAAAGTGAAAATGTTGTTCTTAAAAAAAAAAAATAGAATTGCACCATATTTTCTTCTTTGACAAAGATAATTAGCTACTAGTCCATATTATTATTGTTTTTTATTTTTTATTTCTTTTAAATGCATGTTAGATTTTTTTGTATGTGTTTTATTACTTGTAAATTATTATAATTTTTTTTTTACAAAAATACTATTTAGAGTTCTAAAATGATGAGGTCGCATGTATGATACATTTTGCAGCATTCAAGATGAGGTCTTAAAAACAAAATTATATAAAAATTAAAAAAGAAATAATGACAATAATTTGATCCCCACACTATTTTGAATTGTTTTGGTTGAAAGCTCATTCTTGCAATTTTTTTGATTCAATTCTTTTATTGGAGTCCTATGTATGACATGTGTCATATATTTAAAAGTATAAGCACCATGTTAGCGGCATATTAGCTCGCAACCAATGATGTTATATTAGAAGGTCTCAAACAACGTAAAATAAAGGATAGATGATTTCAATTAACATAAAAAAGAGTATAAAGTCTCAATACAAACAATTAAAGATTAAAGGGCCTCGGTATGGGTAAACCTAATTTTATTATGCGCTAAGTTATGTTATTTTCTTTTATTTTTCCATGAGTCCAAATTACCCAATAAATGGATTGGATCGAGGATGGTTCTTATCCAACATAACGTTTTGGCTCGTTCAAGTATGGACATGGATATTATGATAGGATTAGTATCCGTATCTTGTCTATAGAGATGCATTAGGAAGATCAGCTTGATGGATCAAAGTAGGACCCTAAAAAAGGTTTCATTGTTACTTTTTTTAGTTTTTCATAGCAAGTTAAAGTAGTGTAGGCAAAAAGAACCCAATTTCTTCAACTCAAATTTGATCGTCCAAACATGGATGATGTGAAATAATTCTATAGATCAAAAGAGATCCTTAGTTCACTACAAATACTAGCCTCACGCCATTATAGGAGGGGT